TAAACTACTTTCCAATTTTCTTTTTATTATTCTGGATACCATTAATTTACCCTATAAAAGCCTTCTTTTTGCTGATTCAGCCCAGCAATTTTTTAAATGATTTTTGAAATAATGCGGTTATTAGTTTGGGAAACAGTTTCATGATAACTGCAGTTTTGTGTTCATCAAAATGTGTTTTGGAATATAAAGAAGTGGACCATCTGTGCATGGAATTAGGGTTGTCCATTAATTGGATGTGCAAGTGTGAGGTTCTTGCCAAGTTTTCGTTGTCAAATGAGTTGGTCATTCCTTAATTGAAGGAGTGATTAGCACTCAACTGGGTAGCGTTTATAGTGTCAGCTTAGGGCAAACATTCTAATATTGTAGCTTGAATTTGAAGTTTTTCTTAATTTTTGGATTCTAGAGCTTGGCGTGTTACTTTGCAAGTTGTCAGTTTTTTAAGCATGTAGCCTTTTGGCTTTTGTGTTTGTCAAACTTGAAACTTTAGTTCTTTGATTGATGAAAAAAATTATGTGACTGTTAAACTTTCTAATCGAAGTTTACACTTTACACCTCAAAAATTGTGTTCGATTAGTGTTTAAGGACATAAAAAACACAGTATAAGAAAAATAAAAACATAAAATAAATATATATCAGAGTGAATTTTTGTATTTAGATATAATGAAACGTGTTCCTTTTGTTCTCATTATTTTGTCTCTTCTATTACGCTATCTGATCTAGGCATATAATAATTTTCCAATTTCACCTACCCAAGGACACAGCTTTACAGTCATTTTGGCTGAAAGTTCAAGTCTTTTCCCACACCAGTAGAAACTTTTTTCCCCATCATGTTTTCGTTTCTCTTTTTTTTTTTTTAAATAAATAAATAAATTGATGAGTGTTGAGATAATGATTAAGCCCACAACTCTTCTTTAAGAATTTCATACATTCATATTCCTAAATACCATGCTTATTCTGATCCATTTCATTTAAAATTCCTGGAATTGGGTGCCAATAGAACTTGATCATTAAGAACTTAAATAATTCCATAATATAGCATTTATATATATATATATATATATATATATATATATATATATTTCATGTTAGATTTGGTTGTGGTTTAGGCATGATAGTTCATGGCGAGAATAGTTAGCTGATCATTTGTTTTTTTCTTTGGGTGATAATGAAGGCAAGGAGAGCACTAAGGGCACTAAAAGCTTTGGTGAAGCTTCAAGCCTTAGTGAGAGGCCACATTGTGAGAAAGCAAACAGCAGACATGCTTAGGCGTATGCAGACATTAGTAAGACTGCAGGCTCGAGCCCGTGCTAGTCGCAGTTACGTGTCGGACTCATCGTATACCACTGGCAAGTCCTCTCATTCTCGTTATGCCGTAAGTATACTTTCTTTTCTGTTTATTTAGATGGTTTTTCCTGTCACTTTGAAATTACTAGAAAAATAAATAAACAAAAGAAATTACTAAAAATAAATAAATAACAGATAGAGAGAGATGTAAATGTGATTGAATACAGAACTTCAAATGCTTACCATGGTCCTGCAGAATTCTCAATACACATCATTTTTGAAGGATCACGCCCTTGTGCCAACTTTCTTGTAAAATATAGTTTATCCTTTGTTTATTCAAGTAAGACAGAAGGTGCAGTGAAAGCAAAGAATGCAAGCATGAGGCATGTTGAAATCTGAGAGTGCTTACTTCCTGCTTGTTGCTAAACTTAAAAAGCATTTGGCTTTGTAAGAATGGTACATGCTATGCGGAAGCAGATTGAGGGACGGCCATGATGAGCACATGAGGGCAGCTTAGGGATGCCCTACTCTCTAACGTGAATAACATGTCGTTGACCAAACCCATGTTCATCTGTAAATTGAGAGTTGTAATTAAGCATACTGAAACTTCCTTGAGTGGCAGAATTTATCCGGCCAAAGCAGAATTGCTCTCCATCTGATCAAACCATATCCATAGGACCCAACTAGAAAAATATAAAGCTTTGATATGATTGTTGACACAGGTGCTTCTTTTTTTTTCTGTGATAGTCACCCTTTAACTGCATTTCCTCAGGTCCCTGCAAGTCCTTCAAAGGATCACCTGTCTCGTGTTTCTAGTACCAAATTTGATGGGCCCTCAATTCTCAAGGTACCACTTGATTGTTTTCATAGATTATTTTGAATGATTATCCCCGTGCCACGAATATTTTGCAATTCACCATGGAACTCTGATTGCATTTTTCCTTATCAATACATGCAGAGATGCGGTTCATATTCAAACTTTAGGGAGAGCATTGACTTTGACAAAGTAAAATTGGGATCGAACTGGCTAGACCGTTGGATGGAAGAAAGTTTTTTGAATGACCATGGGAGCAATCCACCGAGAAGTCGAAATGCTGATGATGAGAAGAGTGACAAGATTCTTGAAGTGGACACTTGGAAGCCCCATGTGAAATCCCAACAAAGTAATAGAACATTTCAGACTTCACAGCATGCTTTGGCTTCAGATCATAACAATCAGAGCTTTATGACTTTTGACTCTATGTCAAAACTATCAAAAAAAGAACCGAATCCAATGCCGAGCATCCCTTCAGGAGAAATTTTGCAGTCTCTTAAATTACCTCTAGGAAATGATGAAGCAGTTTATAAGACCGCTGAGAATAGCCCTCGTATGTTCTCTGCAACATCTAGACCTGGAAGTAGTGGTCGGAGAGGAGGCCCTTTTACACCAACAAGGAGTGAGTGCTCGTGGGGCTTCTTTAATGGATACTCGGGTTACCCCAACTACATGGCTAACACTGAATCATCTCGAGCCAAGGTAAGGTCACAAAGTGCCCCAAGGCAGCGGCTAGAGTTTGAGAAATATGGTTCAAGCAGAAGATCTGTTCAGGAGTATTCTGATTCAGAAACCCCTTCAGAAAGGGGTTTTGCTCAAATTACTGAACTTCAAAACAAGGCTTACGTAGCATCTGGCTACTTGAATAGACTGGGGACTTCCGACTTTAGGTGAAAACCGTACCATTTCTTATCGGTTTTTCTTCTTCCGTTTCCGGTGTGTGCAGCAACATCCTATAGTTGTAATTATTTGATCATTGATCTTACAGACTTTTTCCTTACAGAACTGAAACTTTTGAACATTTTGAGTGTTTCGGATTGATGTAATATCCCAAAATTGTGGTTGTAACCTCTTGGATTCCAACAATATTCAAGTGTTATTATAGCTATGCCTATATATTTCTCGTTCCTTCTTGTCTCTGACTTCATGATCCAATTTTGCTGTCCTACAAAAACATCATGTAAGAGAACTGACGCTGATGAAAACACAAGAAGACAGCACGAGAAATAGAAATGATGCTGAAAAGGGTTTTCAGGGGAGGACCCTAATTTGTATTTATTTTTGAATAATTGTCTATATTTTATTTAATAGCTCATTAAATAGGTTAAAAACCGATCATTTCCTAAATAGAAAAGAAAACACAACATAAAATTCAAAATTAAGGTAAAAATTCGAAAACAAAAGGGAAAAATAACAAGTAGAATCATCTTCATGCCTTTTGATTTTCGGGTCTGTAGAATCATCTGTTTAGAACTCTGCCTCCATAACAAAATGTTTGGTTTGATTGACCAACATTTTTATTTGAATGAGGATTTCGCTTCACAGGAGTGAATCATGAAGTGAATCGTGACTGATTTGTATGGTCGGTTAAGATCCGTGACTGTCCTTACCATAGCCCACATATATGTATAAAAACCCAAAAATTGCAGTATGTTAGCCAATAGCAATCACAATGCTATCAAGTTTAAACCCGACAAGTATCGAAATCTGTATCTTTACCCCGCTGTGGATTCACGGATGCCAGATTCTTTCACTTGCTTTATCAACATTGGATGGTCCCATTTGATCTGTCAATGGTTGTCTGAACATCAAAGTGAAAAGAATGCAATGCATCGCATTAAAAAGAACAGCTTGTATATGTTGTTTAGTGCCCATATCAGTCAAATGTAAACCTTGGATTCCCAAAGCATGCGAAGGAATCATTATTTTGAAGAATTTAGATGATGCGAACTTTTTAGTAGTGATGGTGACATAGAAAGAACAATTCAGAGAGGGGAATATGGCCGGCGACAGCAGGTGATGGTGCAATTGCCCTTCTTTCGTCTCACTATGTCTTCAATTTGGGATCCTAGAAATCACGAAGAACATGTTATAATATGAGTATTATATAGGGTTGCGCTATTCACACTCTCTCAAGTATAGCTATCGAAACCAGCTAGGGATCCTCTCGAAGAAAAACTCGAGTTATTGATTACGGAGTTTAACTTAGTTTGATTAGGTTATCCAGTTTAACCAAGTTAATGTCAAAACAGTTTAAATTAAAACTCAATTCAAGTTACATTATAAATCACAAGTTTATCAAATTAACTCAAATCAGGTTAAAGAATTCTTCTCTAGAGTGTTTATCGCACAAGAAACAATCGGATCTTACACAAATAGCTCTAATCTAGTCCATTAATGAAACGACATTGCATGAGATAGGATCGAATCTTGAGGTAAAAAAAAAAGGCAATTCTTAAAATGTGGATTCTTTTACCATTTCGTGAGAGAAAAGTGATTTAACTTGTCTAATCCAATCCAGTTGCCACCTAACTTCGTGTGTGATCTTGGGATTTTTTTGCAGTTATCCAATCTCTTTCGGTGGAAAGAAATGAAAAGTAGCAACCAATTCATCACATACCTCCCTTTTTAAACAATCTAATTCTAGGTGTCTTTCGATATGGATTAGCTTTGATTCAGCACTATAGAAAACAACTCTAAGTGAATGAACGGATGTGTTCAATTTTGTGAATTCATCAGTTAACATGTAAACGACTGGCCTAAACTAGAAATAAAGTTATTGAAAACTATATTCCGGTTATAAATTAAACAGGTTAATTTAGACTAATCTAAAATATTATCGTTTCAATATAATTTTTAAAAATAAAAACAATGTTATTTAAAAAAAAATTAAAATTGATTACTTAAATGAGAAACAAATACGATGGGGAAAATCAATTATCAATTCATCAACATACAAGCTCAAACTTGCTATTTTAGAAAGAAGAGTCACTTATTTTGTATTTCTTAGTGACTGTACTTGGAGACAAACTTCTTATTCAGCCCCATAGCCTCTCCTTTGGAACCAACCTCATAATTTCACTGACCTCAACAACTCAAGGAACACTGCACTTTCCATGTCAATATATAGCATTAGATAACATGAAATGACAAGCAGGATTGAGATTAACAGGCAATTAATGCAAGCACTGAAGCAACCATGGGATACAAAATAGATAGGCAGCTAAGAATGGCATATGTATTATGTACTGAGACAGAATTTAGATGCGCTAAAGAAACTCTTACGAGGAGCAATCTGTATTAGGATCAAGAATGAAGCCAAGGCTTAATCCGCAGAAGCCTGGCAGAGTAGCAATTGCTGTAGCATTAGGATTATAGGTAGTAATGAGGCCCATTAAGCATTGACAGATAGACCTATCATTTCCAGATTCAGCAATCACACCGAGGCTCATCATGGAATCACAACATGGTGAGCCTGGAAGTGGGTCTGGTGTGCCATAGGTGATGAATGTAGAGCAAGCCGTGAGGAACCCTGTCACGGTCGTGCAATCGACGTCGGCCGCCACTATCATAGCCCATGAGAACAACAGCAACAGGAGCACTCGAGTCATTATTTTTTGGACCTCCATTTTTTGAAAAATAGACTTGGACCACCCTCTAGTACTTGTTCAATAGCTAAGAGCTATTTAGTGCAAGATGGGAAATTAATAGTGCTGATACAGTTTGGTTGGTGTGAAATGAAGAGGGTGTGTGCTCTTTCACACTAGTTGAATGAGCTTATGGCCACCATGAGAACGAGAACATGAGCGTATGAAGGAACAAGGTGAGGACCCAAGGTTGGTGTTCTAAGCATTATATATATTATACCATTTTCTCAGACATCTGGTGTCGTGGTGTAGTTGGTTATCACGTCAGTCTAACACACTGAAGGTCTCCGGTTCGAGTCCGGGCGACGCCATTTTTGCTCTCATCTATTTCCCCCCGAAACAAGAACTCTACATGTATATATATGTGTGTGTGGTAGAAAATGAGGCAATTAAAATGGCAAGCCTTTTGTACGTTAAAAAAAAAGAGAGAGAAAGAATTATAAAAGAAGGCAAACAACAAATCAAAGTAGTTTCTAAGCTAAAACTATGCATACATATACAAATTTATACACACGGAAATTGAAATTTTAAAGCCATAAATTAAACCACGACCTTCTACCCCACTACAGGCTGTTTTCATTGCATTTCCATCTGGAAGTAGGTACGCAGCTGAGGTAGTGACACCAATGGCAATGATCATTTCCATTTTTTCCCTTGAACAGCATCACCAATGCAACTGTGAATCTGCATTGTTTTATTAAAGCATTAGAACAAAGCAAATACGGAAAATCTGGTCATCAATTTTTCAAATTTTTCAAGCAATGGCAAACTCAATGGTCACTGGTTTTTCATGTGTTCATCTAGTATATCAAGTGGAACAAAAAGTTAATGTGTTCAAGCCCCACGGCATCAAACCAGACATCGGTGTTCAATGACTGATGATGTTGGTTAAGGAGCATCTGCTGCTTGCTGCTGAGTGAAATAGTTCCAGCTGTTTGCCTTTTTCATGACATCAAAATGGGTTTCCAAACTGGCGAGCGCGCCAGGATTGTATAATATTATGTCATTATGCATATGATATGGTAGCTCGATGAAAATGAACATTCAAATGACATGGAGAGGATAATTCAACCAATTTCCTGGGGCCCAAGATCAATGTGTGTTTAAGTAGATATTTTGGAGTGGTGGACAGTGTGACTCACCCTACAATCAGCAGCGCCACAGAAACCAACCATAGAGCATATTGGTAAGCCTTGAACTTATATTTGAAACTAACACCGGAGGGAAGATTCCGACGCCCTTGCGAACCATACTGTGAACGGGGCAGCAGAACAAAGCCTAGGAGGAACCCTGACAGAAAGCCACCGATATGGGCAAAATTATCAACATGTGGCAAAATTCCTATTGCAAGGTTAATGGCTGTGATGACCAGAAGTGTTAACAGAGCTGCAGCCTGTGGAAACAACAAATAGCAGAAATTAGGCGAAAGAGTAACGGAAACAACTAAGTTGTGTTTAACTTTACAAATGCCGTTGTATTCCTTATGGTTGCAACTTGCAACACAGTAATGGATAACCAGGAAATGGAGCTGAAAATCTTGAACAATGGCATCACACTAAAATGTCAAACAATGAATAAACACCACTGACCCTGTTGATGTAGATGCTCCAGTTTGTAATTAGTTCTGAAAGCATTGCTCCAAGAAGCCCGAAAAGGGCACCCGAGGCACCAACAGAGATGCTGTTTCTAATAAATAGAGAGGAAAGCACACTACCTCCAAATCCTGACAGAAGATAAACAATTCCGATGCGAACTGCCAATTTGTGACAAAAGCATCAGATCACCTTAAGGTTAGTTGTACTACCAGAAACAGGAAAATAATATAGTGCCATGAGAGCTTAGTTGTTCGTCATGGATAAACAAAGACTACAAGAATCAATTTCATAACAAATCTCTATGTGCAGCCCTGTGATACAGCTCGTGCAGCCCGACGACAAATAACATAGCAACTGAAAGTTTCATCAAATTCACAGTTGGTGTTGATAGCAAAGAATTATTGGCCTCTCAAGAAATTTTGATAACTACTTACCGAACCCAAATTGCTGCTCGAGACGAATGCCAATGAAGACCAGGCTCAGCATGTTTGCAAGAAGATGAATAATACCAGCATGCAACCAGATACAACTGATAAGCCTCCATCCTTGGTGCTTGTGTACAACCTTGGTCCACTCAAGAGCTCCCAATCTCTCTAACCTTTGAAAGTTCCACAAAAAGAAAGAAAAAGCTTCAAGTAATTGCTTTATGTTTATCCTACCTTCTTTTCCATATCTTTATGTTATTGACAATGCTGAGAAACAAGAGATGACAACTTTTCAATAAGTTAATTAATTTAGTTCCTGAAAAATCCAAATACACATAATTTCTTACAAATGCTTCTGTTAGAAACATATTTTCAAGGTTAGAAGTGTTTGAGAAAAAAAAGAGAGAGAAAGTAACAGATCTATTTCATGATATCCACAGAATTTCGACCCCTGAAGCCTTAAATCCATCATAAAAACATATAGTATCTCAAACCAATAATCTGAAAATTCATGTCATTTGACTCCAAAGACGACACGGACCAGCCTAAAAACACAACAATGAAATACAGTAATTGAGATACGGGCATCGGTCTCTAAAGCAGATCACACTAAATTCTCTTCAAGGATTAATCAATCAAAAACAACCCCCCATGGAAGCCACGCACGAGGCATTCTAAATTCATCAGAGCAACGCTAAATTTCCAAATTCATTTGTACACACATCAAAAAGGATCAAAATTCCTCCTCAAACTCAGTTTATCAATCACAAACTACTGAAACAACAGCAACCCAGGAATCTAAAAGCTAAGTCGTGGAGAAGTTTTAAACCCTCCATAAAACAGAATGACATAAAACAGAAAATAGACAAGAAAAATGATACAAAGAGTAAAAAGTAAAGCAAAGAATAAGGGAAATTACTTACGTAGCAGAAGAGGGACCAAAGAGAGGATTATCTTTCAAAGGCTCAAAAGAAAACCTCCCAAGAAACCTTGCAACACACTTCCCTTCCAATCTTGTATGTAAATATTTAGGACAATTATTGATGTACATCACAACAATGAAGACAACAACATTTGCCACCACAAACATAGGTACAAGCCATGATGTCCAGTAATGAGCTTCTGCATCTTCTATCAGATATGTTGGAGTTGATGAGTAACCGTTTCTGTTGTTGCTGTTGCCTCTGCTCTTAACTCCTCTTTCTATGTCTTCTCTTGACATGTTTGACATTTCTTGATGATGTTCTTGCATGTGTCTCTTTCTTTAAAAGGACCTGTACTTTGGTTTCTTGTTTTCCTTTATCTCCGTAGAAATGGTATAGTGGTGGCGTTGGTGAATTCAATGGATTTTAATGGAGAAAGAAAGAAAGTGGGTGAGGAATTTTCAAGTTTCTAACTGCCAAGGTGAGCGAGGTAACCTCCAATGGACATTATTCATTTGATCATGTACAAACACTACTACGATTCTGTTTTTGGGCAGTCCACTAGTCTCTTGACAAGTTGCCTATTGCTAATTTCTATTTTTCCTTCTCTTCTCTACATTGTTGCATTGAAGTGGAATATATTTTTATAGCTCAACTAATATAGTAATTTTTTCCCTTCCTCAAGAAATCCCAAGTTCAAGCATTTCCTCTATAGTCAAAACGAAAGAAATTGATTTTTTTACGTAAATGGGAAATAAGAAACTCCTCTTGATAGTGACGTGTCAAGATTCCATTGGGTGGATGGATGTGAAAAGAATGGTCGTGGAAGCAGTGGATGGAGGCTGATTCGACGCGGTATATCACCTTCTGTTTCTTCTTGCAAGGCACTTCCTGTTTTAAATGCTTGAAGACGCGGGTTTGCTTTCAAGAATATTAAGCTAAGAGCTGGATCCTTCATGGAGAATCAATTTCAGCCCCAATAAATTAGTGTATAACATGACTTCAAGACAAAGACATGTAGCCCTTCGTGATTAATCTATGTCCAGAAAAGAGAGAGAGAGAACATTGAACATGGCTGTAAAACCTGGTTCAATCCCTATATTAGCCATTATCTGGTTTAGAGATTTGGTGCCTCAACTCCAATTTATTTTACATAATATTGTTTAAAGATTTTATATTTAAAAAAATATTATAATTTGAAAAAATTCAAACTAAGTTTCAATTGAGTTGAATTGCTATATTAACAAAATATAACTAGATTAACTTTCATTTGATTTAATATAAAATTTAATTTAAATTAAAAGTTTTAGATTCGTGGTTCTTGATCATGAAATTAAGATGTAGTTTATAACATTGTTATTTAATGTAATTTCTGATTAGAGTGCTTTAATATTTAAAGAAGTTTTGAATACGAATTAATTACCTAAAATATGATTGGAAAATGAGTGAATGTTAGTATGATAATAATAATATGACCTTTAAATTAAGAGAAAAATACATAAAGAGACTATGGAACACCCCTTTAAGTGTTACAAAGTGATAAAATGGTAAATATTTGAGTTCCCATATGCATTCTAATAGATGAAAAAAAAAAACACGATGGATAAATTTTTTTTTTTTATGATCTAAAATTCGACTGACTTCATATATAAAACACTAATGTAAATTAAAATCGAGTGCGTTTATATAAATTAAAATTAATCAATAATGTAAGAGAGCACACTCATTTATGTTAATTATTCAATAAAATCTTAAGTTAAATATTAATTATTATTTTATTAAAAAAATATTCCGAAATCATCACATTGAGAGACAATATCTCTAGCTATCACTGATATAAAGAGAACCGTGAAATGATGATATTCAACAGAGAATATATAGTGCATCAAAATGTCCAATAATACAGCCTGAAATTTCTCTATTAAAAGGGTTTTTTTTTTTTCATATTCTATTTTTTAGTTCGAGGGATTGATTTGAACCCTCAATATATTCCAACTATTCCATTTATGTTGAAAAAAAATGAAATATTTTATGATAATAAACAATTGGACACTTGGATTTGCTAAATTTAAAAAATAGATTTTAGCCTTAAATAAGCACAAATTTATTAGTGAGAGAATACCATATAAATATACAAAGAATCTTTTTTTATATATACATACAAGAAAGAAGAAATAGGAAGTTTGCAAAGGTAATGATGCGGTTTAATTAGGCTTTAATTAATTGGTTAAAATATTTAAATGT